AGCCTTATATACAATGGTCTCCTCACAATCAGTCCCAGTTTCTAAGTAGAAGTCAGAGAACACACTACTGGCCTGTGTTCAACCAAACCTAGAAAGTGGATAGTTGTACAAGTCTTCTGCCCAAAGCATAAAATGCAGGAGAAAAATAAGAGGAGACAGCGATAAGGAACTTGTAGATTAATAGTGAAGAACAAATAAACAAAAAAACCAATGCAATGTGAGTACTTGTCCTTTGACTCTAAATTCAAAACATCCAACTTCTCTTTTAATGTCATTTAGAAGAATCATAGGCCTTGAGTTTATACATCATGTCTAAATACATTTTCCTTATCCTTCATCTACTGATGGGTATGTACATTGTTCTCAAGATCTAGCTATTATAATTTGTGCCTCTGTAAACATGAGTAGGCACATATCCCTGAAATAGGACTTTAACTCCCATGATTTTTGCTATTTTCTGTTTGTCTCTTCTTTGCAAGAGAATCATTTTGACTATATCTTATAGTCTGAGTAACAATTTTGAAACTAACAATATACAGTGTATTAACTATTATCAACCTCTTATTTTGTTGTGAAGTTTTATTTTTTCACAAGATAAAAAAAGAAAATAGTAATGTGGAAGTTTGAATGTTGACTAGATGTTCGGTGATATTTGAGAGTTAGTTCTGATTTTAAAAACTATGATATGGAGTTATGCAAATTTAAAAGTCCTTGCATCTTACATATGTTGAGATATTTATAGATAAACTTATGTGGGTTACTGTAAAGTAACCCAAGGAATATGGGGAAGAGTAGGAAGATAAGTTGGGTGATATCCAGTAAAACAAGAGTGGTTGATGGTCGGCTGCCACTGGGTGATAGGTACATGGGTCTCCTTACAGAATTCTTTCTGACTTTGAATTTGCCCCATTCTTTGCTTTTTTTTTTTTTTTTTTTTTTGTCTTTTTCCTTTTTATCGGTACCGGCGATCGCGCTTATGCCACTGAGCTAAATCCCCAGCCCCCCATTCTTTGCTTTTGCATTTGTCCCAAGCAGTAGGATGACTAGTCCAACCTGATGGTTTAGGTCCAAACCTTCCCCCCAAATACTTCCGTATGCTTGGGGGTGATTTGCTCATGGACTCTCACACTTTCATGTAGCTCCATCCATAGATAAGTTCATAGATGAATGAACAGTTAGAAGGTGGGCCCGGCTGGATCACTGAGACCAGGACTTACAAAAGTGAATCCTCATCCCTGCTCCTCCCTTCTGTCTCTACTTCCTGGTTGCCATGGTTGAACAGCTTTCTCCCATCAAGCCATGCTACCGTGACCTTTCTGCCTTGGAGCCACCCAGCTATGGCCTGAATCTTTGAAAAGCCACAGGCTGAACTCGTCCTCTTTTCCTTTAAGTTGTGGCGTCAGATATTTTGTCCCAGAAACAGGAAAATTACTAAGACACTTTCCACTTGCACTCTTCCCAACAGTCACACCCTGGACTTTGGCTCCTGGAACAGCTCCAGCCTCTGCAGCTCATCCACTCCCCTGCCCTTGGATGACATTAAGGCCTTTCATCGAAGGGCCTCTCTGTTTCCTTCCAGTCTATCAGATATTCTCAGGTTTCATCTCTGGACTCTGGGTCCACCTTTCACGGTGCAGCCCTCCAACCCCATCCCTAGATGCCCGTCACTGAAACGTCACATCTGCATTAGTGTAATCAGCTGCCATCTACTTCTGCAGCATGTCAACCACAGCCGTAGCACTTTGTTATCCAAGCTCAGGGGGGCCCCCAACACCTCGGACCGACCCTTCAGCGTGTCCCTGAATCTGTCACTATCTCAAGGGTTCTCCTTTCATCTCAAAGCCCCACCTCCAACGTGTACGGCCTTTCCACTCTCGCTCCAAACACAAGCTTGTCACTAAGCAAAGCAGGGCTCCAACTTCCTCCACCTCACCATGCAAAGTTCTCTCCCATTTTTTATTCATGTTCCACCTCTTGAAGTTGAAACGCTACTCTTTATAGAATCATAGCATTTTAAATCTCCCTCATTTCAATATTTTTCCATATTAAAGTATTCCAGCTTCTAGGTTTTATCTACTCTTATTTTCACTGCTGAACCATTAGTCACTATTGATTTGTCAACCCATTATTATTTGGGATTCCTCTTCCCTACTATCTCACCAAATGCATCCAAAGTTACCAGTGATCTACAGAGACCAATGACCTACAGACTGCCAAAGTCAAAAGACAACATCCCTTCTTCATCTTGCTCATCCTCTTAATGACCTCTGACACTAATGGGAAGCACAGTGGGGCACTGAGGAATCCAGAGGCAACCTGAGGACATAGCAAGTCAACCAGATGTAAGGTACACACATGGCCATGCACCAGTACCAGCAGTTTCATGCAGAAGACTTCCGCAAAGCATAGGACTGGAAGCCTCAGGAACATTTGGACTGTCAGAGAGCAACTTCGGAGGACAAGGTCAGCCTTGGACTGTAAATTGGCAGTGGTTACTTACAATCTCAAAAAGACCAAAAAAGCAAAAGGGTGGCTTATCCTAGACCTAGTAGAAGCATCCTCAAGTGTTACTCCTGGAAAGAGAAGGGTCTCAATGGAAGTTTATCACTGTTGGTCTCCTTATCACTATTTCCTGGGTCTAAGAGTGAGAGTGAATTCATAAATTACATGTACAATTAACAGTAAGTAAAAAGCAGCCAGACACCAAAGAGCACATTCTGTGTAGTTCCACAAACATGAAATCAAGAGACAAGCCAGTCTATTGCATGTGGGTCAGAAGAGCTGCACCTTTGGGCTGCACAGAAGGATGGAGGAATGAGGGAGCCTTCTGGGATACTGAAAATGTTCATTATCTTTAAGGGAAAGAGTTGCTACACAAGTAGCATGTATATCTAAAGCCTTCAAGCTGCATACAGAAGATACGTGTATTGTATTGCATGTAAATTATAACTTCATTTAAAATTACACAGAAAGATGTACATTTTCCAAAATGAAAAATAAATCAAATTGAGAGCACTATTGCTAATCCATGATTGGTCCAATGCATTACCTATTCAAACTTGCAGAACAAAGCCCAGGACTCTGGTACTGAGCTTCACAGATCAGCTTTGTGACTTCTATGTTCTAAAGATGCTCGATGTCTCCATCTACCCATGTGCCTTTGTCCATGTTTTTGACACGATGATGCTTCTATTATTGATTAATAAACTGGAGTTCTTCCCTGGAGATTTCAGCCTCCAAAATTTATCCAGTAATTGTTAATACTCCTGGTCCCAAAAGATTCAGATACCTTCAGAAAGCAGAGAAAATTTGTCTAACTCTACAAGGGTTCCCTGGTGATAACTCCCTGCAATCAGCAAAATCTGCCGCGCCCTGTCTCTGACTGGGCTGTTCCAAACAAGGTTGTCTGGAAGGTGGTGGCCGGAAGGTGGTCTGGGATGAGCCTCAGAATTTTCAACTCATCTCTTCTGCATCTTTCCTTCCACTGTGGCTTCTGCTGACATTTCATCAGTTCTCACCCCACTCTTTGCTTCCCATTCTGACCCACCTCCCTTTCTTCTGACTTTACTTTTTCAATGATTCCCTAGAATTTCCATGTTCAAGCTCAAACCATTATCCTGAGTCATGGTGACAGTTTCACTTAACCTGCAGCTTAACCTCCACCCCACTTCCCCCATCAGACATATTTGCTTCATTGTTCAGTAGTGGCGTGATTCCCATTGTGCTTGTACGGAACAATACCGTGCATTCCAGTAGGTTTAGCGCCCCCGGCTCCTGCCCACTGGATGCCCATAGTACCACACCCTCAGACATTGTGATGACTAAAACACGCTCTCTGGTATTCCCAAGTGCTTCTTCCAGCCCCTTTTTTCAACTGCCTACCTCCTACTGGTCCTTCATACCTCAACTCAAGAACTGAATCATATGAAACTGCCTTCTGTGTGCATCAAGAGGATGAGACATCCACTGTCTAACTGGCTAAGTGAATATACTTTGCTTTAGGAAACTCTCACTAATGATGCCCAATGGCACCCATGATTTAATTTATTACAGCATTTACCATCATGTTTTGTAATACCTTAAACTCCAGCCTTTCCCCCTCAACACATTGCTTAAGTCTAATTACCTATGAGTAAATTACCAAGTCTTAAGTCAGTCTCTCTAGCACTTGGCACCCTGGCTGGTGCCTAATAAATACTAAATTTATGTTTGCTAAATAAACAAACAGAAGGGTAAGCATGCTTTCCCTGATGACTCAGGTTTATTATTCCTGGGCACTTAGATGTCCCTGGGGCACACTGAGCCTCTTGCTCTTTACTCTTCATCAGATGCTCCACTACTTCGCTTCAGGGATTGTGCATCCAGATGGTGTAGCTTATGAGCACGCCTGCCTCAGAGAACCTTCAGATCTTTCAGAAACCGAGGTACTCCGTGAGCTCTGGGACATTGACACTGTTGCGGTAACTATGTTGGTTCACAGTCCCTTCACTTCGACACTGAGAACTTGCTAGCTTTTACATGTTTGAAGTCTCCCCTCTTATTAGAGTTAAGGAGTTTCTAAGTAATTCCCAAGAGTAATTTTCCTTTTGGAAACTACTTACAGATGACTCAGGAGGACTTTAGAGAAGAGATATGCTCCTATGTTGAAATGACCATTCTCAGCATCCTGGACTGACGGACTGATTGACTTCCCCAGGTATTTTCTAAATAGTAGTTGTGTTCCTGTAGTCATGAAGTGTTTTAAAACTTTACACCAATAAACACTTGGGCTATAGATCTCAAATACTAGATCTTTCTACTTTTCCATGTGAATGGCTGTGACTTTTGAAAGAATTCCTTTCATTATAATTTATATAAATTCAAATCCAGGACCATGAGGGCCAAAGAAAGGAGGGACAGCCAGGCAGGAATACAACTTTTCATAAAATATTTATATTTTCTCTACCTTTCAATATTTTCAATACATATCTTAATAAATGACATACAACTCATTCAATAAGTCAATTTTCAATTCTTTTATTTTCAGTATTTACCATTCTACAATCACTTTTCTCTTTTATAAGACAATTTGGAGCAATTTAGGAAACAAAATTATATACACAGAGGAAATTAGATTTCAAAAAAATAGATTACTACTTGCAAGACCCATATAATTGTACTCCTCCAAATATAGTTATACATTACACTGAGCCATAGCTTATGAGAAATTAGTATAAATATCTGAACACAAAAAACCTTCGGCTATAAATACATAAAATAGAGCTTAACTTCAATATGATGCTTAAACAAAGCAAACTATGATGCAATATGAATCAACTTCATCAACTGGACCAGTCCAATAAGGCGTGAATCAGGTAAGAGCTAAATGATGCGCTGGTGAAACCTCCAATTCCACCCAGGTTCTTTTTGTTCTTGGGCTGTGTCCAATTTCATTCTGAAAGTGCATACATTTTTACATCTTCTTGACTTTTTGACTATAAAGAGAAAAAGAGGAAAAGTGTAAGCCCAAACATGGTGAGCAGCATGAGGAAATTGCTTTGGGACCTAAGGGTTGCTCCGAAGGCCCTTAATCTCATCTCAGAATGAAAAACACCTCAGAGTCCATGAGGAGGCCAAGGTGAGAAAGGAGGGACTCTGCTCCCTTGCATAACTAAGTAATTGTAGAAATTCAATATGAGCAGTTGCCTTTTTTTCTCAAGTTCAGTATTTACAGAACATTGATATTAGTGCTTCCTCCTGATAAAATATTACTTTTATCATCAATGTACATCAGAACCACTGATCTCTTTAATAAACATTAATAATCTCTTTAATAAACATTTTTTTAATGAACAACTAAAGGTCCAGTATTTTTGTAAATTATATAAATAAGAAAGAGGCAAGCAGCTGGTACCTGTCAATGTACAAAGGAACCTAATGCACCCTAGGAAAAATCAATACATTGAAGTATGATGATTCATAAGTAGAAAAATACATTCTCTGTCTTTATGGTCCAACCCAAATTCTGACTTTAAAAATTCCACATCCCTGAGGCTAAACAACGCCAGCGAGCCTGGGATCCGCTACTCTGTACACACATCTTTCTCTGCCACTCAGTGATCCGTACCTGAGAACAAGCACGGCCCTCTTCACCCAACCCTTCTTCGGGTCCGCACACACAGATAGTCTCTTCTTTGTATGAAAGCTGAAAGAGCAGAAAATTTGATTTGCATTTAACAATTTTAAATGCTTTTTGACAGAGTATGCAATGGAAATTTCACATTCCAGTTGATTACATACAAACATTTTAGCTAATGAGGTAAAATGAAAAAAAAAAAATGCTTAAGATATATCTTGATGTGAGAAATAAAGGTGATTTTCCGTGACATTATCTGCAGTGTAAGATGACTTTACAGTGGTGTCAAGATAAAGTCCTAGAATTGTTGTTTAATTTTGCTTCTGAGGCTTATAAGAAATAAATTATGTATCTGATCAACAACATATCACTCTAAAATGTACTATTCTATATAAGTAGGGAATACTATGCATGACAGTATAATTAGCCTGAGATTTCACTTACAACCCCAACCATTTTTGCTAAAAGATACTCATTTCAAAACATGTATTCTGTATATTCCTGAGACAGTATTTTAATACCCTGTAAGATAATCTTAGAAAGTGATTTCTACTCTTAGGATTTCTTTTTTCAAATGCCTAAGCTTTTGCCTTATTTCAGTATTATTTAAAAGGACCTTCGAAGTAGATATTTGCTACTTAAACAAGCTGTCTTCTCATGTTATTTCTGAATGATATTCCAAAAACATTATACCTGAAAAATTCCCAGATATTTAGTAACTTACATGATTGCATCAATGTCACAAGCTTCACTGGCCAGCTGCTGTGTGAAGCCCACAATAAGTTTGGGGCTAAGCACGTGTCTTGTGTATCTGAGACAACAGTCAAAGCTGCTTGCTGCTAAGAGAGAAATGAAAAGTATTGAGTCACAAGAATGAACTTCTCCTGTGATTGGTGAGACGGAACTATGTCAAGCTGTAAAAAAGTAATGACTCTGGTTTATATGCTCAAGAGTCTATTCTATGGAATAGTTTAATTTCTTTGAGGCCCTGTCTTGCTCTTTGAGATCAAATTCAACAGAGGCTCTAGTTCTTTAAAAAAAAAAAAAAAAGGTATGCTGGGAAATTTTGATTCAACAACACATTTTTTAAAACGCATGACTTCTCAGTAGTACAACATCATTAGTAATACATACAAACTGATAATGCTTTATTTAGGTTCATTATACTCATTCAAGAATATGGGAACCTTTTACACAAGGCAAAAAGAACCTAATAGATAAATCTTAAAACTTCTAAAACTTAGTAAATTGGCATGTTTTAATCTACTGTTTTTCTGAATATTAAAAAGTAGGATTAAAAGGAAAATTTGTTTTTCCAGGAGCTACAGCTAATGTACTTTGCAACTGCAATATTTAGTGATAATTTTCAACTTTGTTCATGCAAGTTCAGCATGTGCATTTTCAGGCATGCACCTAAGTGATGCATCCTTAGTAATAAAACAACACTTGGACACTCCCCTGAGTTAAACTATAACCTGCATTCAGCTGAGGATTAAATGTTAGCTCCAAGTTGACAAGCCATGTCCCCAAGGCTTCTTGGGGAGAGCGAAGCCAGGTGTTGCAATCCGTTCCTAAGGCACATGTTTTGAACTTCACTCACATTACTGAGTTGGGAAGTGAAAAGGTTGAAGAAGTAGAAGTGTTTCCTACATTTCAGGACCTTATATACTGGTGATTTAACACAATTCCCATTACTCCTAGAACCAGCACTTTGACCTTGCCCTGAAAGGGACCTTAGAAATCTCGGCACTCCCTAGACGTCTGCAGACTGACAGTTTAGAGGAAGCCCGCTTGGCAGCAGTAACCTTGTTCTCTTTCACACCTGAAAGAGCTGGCAATCTTCATCACTCCCTCCTGGATTCTTCCTAACAGGCTTCCATCCCTTAGGGTCCCAAGATGAGCCCATGGCTTAGAGAAAAAGCAAAAAACGGTCCAGCCTCCTGGGCCACAGAGAGGGCAGCGCTTACCTTCTGACTGCCTGCAGAGGTGGAGCAGCAGCACTGACATCAGAGCAGCCAGGAGCAAACTCTTGCCACTGCACCCCATTTTCAGCTGGAAGAACAGTTCTACTCAGTGCTGGGTACCAGTGCCCTGAGAGTGCTCTTCTGCCCTCACAGCAAGCAGGATGGCTCTACTTATAGTAAAATTTTGGGAATGTACACAAGGAGGCGTGTCCTCACTCGGGTTTTCCCCATTGAAAAACCAGCCTTATCATGTCGTCATAAAGAAAACCCACAGGAAAACTTCCTGCCTTTCCCTAAGGTTGAGAAGCAATAAAACTCAGGAAGGGGGCAGGGAAGTTTACCAAGGAGAAAATCTTGTTAAATCCTTTGGATTTACAAAGGCAAAAAGAAATGGCTCCTAGCCAGTTTTAATTTAATCTCTTTTGTCTCAGAAAATAGAGGAACAGTGATATAGGGGTCATCTTCTGACCAGAACATTCCAGGATTCCTCTCATTACACACAATTTCCTTTCCAGAACCAGGCATAGAGGAAAAGAATGGGGAATGGTGAAGCAAGAATTTGCAACTGCACTTGATGCTTAAAATGCACAAAGAAGATTTCTAGACCAGCACTCAAGTCAAGTAATAACACAGTATGGTAACAGGGTTCCAACTTTTCATAGAAAAACATCAGCACTTGGGTAAGAATCAAGCCTCAGCTTCTTGTTGATTTGATGTCCATACTTCTAAGAAATTTTTACATGTATTTGACTCCAAGCAATACTGCAACCTGGTAAATAATCATCACCTGCCTTTCATTTTTATGACAGTGTACCTAACAATACAAACCTTCAGCAAAGTGGGCAAAAACTCATCTGTGATAGCTAATCAGAAAAAAAACTAATGATAATAATAATGATCTTAATGTACCTGGAATGCCTAATCTAAAGTGATGTGCTAAGAACTGTCCCCAGTCACAAATAAACTGAAAGTAAAAAAATAAAAAATGATATACCATGAAAATTATAAAGGAAAGAAAATTGAAGTTGCTGCACCTATATCAGAAAAAACAGATTTAAAAAACTTTCTGCAAATAATAATGGACTTTCAAAATGATAAAGGATCAATCCATCTGAAAGATATAAAAATTATAACCATGAATACACCTAATAATAACACCTCAAAACGTATGAAGCAAAAACTGAATGAACTGAAGGAACAGACAACTTTGAGACTTCCACACCACACTTTCAATAACTAATAGAAGAGCTAGACTGAAAACTCACAAGACAATGAGGAATGATCGTACAAAAGAATAAAATCTAACAGGCTTCTCTAGAACATTCTATCCAGCAACAATAGAAGAAGCCTTCTTCTCAAGTAAACATGGAAAATTCTCCAGCTAAATCATATGACAGACCATAGAACAAGTCTCAAAAATATAAAAGGATTGAAATAATATAAAGTATGTTTTCAAATTACAATGAAAAATCAGAACGGCCAGTGTGGTGGCCCTTGCCTATAATCCCAGCACTCAGGAGGTTGAGGCAGGAAAATTGCTGTGAGTTCAAGACCAGCCTGCATTACAAAGTAAATGCAAAGCCAGCCTGAAATGCATAGCGACCCCTTGTCTCCAAAAGACAAAAAAACAAAATGTTTTTAAAAAGAAATTAAATCAGAAGTCAGTAGCAGAGGAAATTTAAGGAACTCACAAATTGTGAATTTAATATTATTCTTAAATAATCAATATGTGGAAAAAGCAATCACTAGAAAAAGTATAAAATACTTTGAAATGAGTGAAGATAAAAATATAGTATCCTAAAAGCTATGGGGTGCCGCAGTAAAAGCAGTGGTCAAAGAAAAATTATAAACATCTGTATTTTTAAAAAAGAAAGATCGCAAAGCAACAACCCTTTAAGAAACTGGGAAAAAGTACGGCAAATACATGCAAAAGAGAGAAAATAATGATGACTAGAGTAAGACTGAATAAAATAAGAACAGCAAAACAATAGAGAAAATTAATAGAACCAAAAAGTGATTCTTAAGACAATCAACTAAATTGTTTTAATACACTAACCAAAAAAGAAAAAAAAAAAAAACTAAGGAATGTAAGAGAATGTATCACTACTGATATTACAGAAATGTTATTAAAAAAAGAAATGCTATGAACAGCTATGCCAACAAATTAGTTAGAAAAAAGATACAAGTTATTAAAGATGACTCAAAAAGAAAATAAAAATTTCAATAGTCCTATGACGAATAAAAATATTACACTGATAACTAAAATTTTTCCACAAAGAAAATCCTAAACCAAACTATTTCACTGGTAAATTCTATCAAACACTTAAAGAACTGACACCAAACTTTTCCAAAAACAAAGAAGGAAAACTTTCCAAATCATTCTATGAATATAGTATTATAACAATATTCAAATAAAAAAGGCATTAAATAAAAATAAAACACAAATAAAACTACAGGCCAATATTGTTACAAATACAAAATCCTTGACAAAATATCTGTAAATTGAATCCAATGGCAAATTTAAAAAAGATCATTCACCATAAATATATGGAAATAATTCTAGGAAATTAAATATATGAATAGAATAAAACAAGAAAACCATATGAAAAAAATTTGGCAAAACTCCAAAGCTTCTTACGATAAAAAAGTTCAGCAAACTAGGAACAGTAGAGCACTTCCTCAACCTGATAGAGGAAATCTATGAAAATCCCACAGTTAATATCACATTTAATGTTGATTTAATGCTTCCCCTAGAGACCAGGAAAAAGACAAAGATATCTGCTTTGGGGCTGAAGATATATAGCTCAGTGGCACAGTGCCTGTGAACTCATAGGTTTGATTCCCAGTACCAAAAAAAAAAAGATAAATGCTTTTATCACTTCTATTTAACATTGTATTGGTTGTTTTAGCAAGGGCTGTTTTGCAACAAACACAGAAAGAGAAAGGTATTCAGATTGTAAAAGAAATGGTAACTATATAAACACACAGATGAGAGCTTATAAATAAAAAACATTCTAAACAATTCATTTTAAAACAGAACAGGGCTGAGGATGTGACTCAGGTAAAACACTTGCCTACCCCTGGTATTAGAGGAAAAAAAAGAATAAAGGTAAAATTCAAGATCAATGTACCAAAAGCAATTATATACCTACGTAGAATCAATAAGCACTCTGAAAATAAAATTAAGAAAATAATTACCTTTGCAATGGCATAAAAAAGAACAACATATTCAGGTATAAACGTAAGAAAAAGGGTCAAAATGTAACTAAAAATTATAAAACGTTTGAAAATTAAAGAAGACTTAAATATTTGGAAAGCTATCCCATGTTCAAGGACTAAAAGATTTAATGTTATGTTGGTGATATTCCTTAAACTAATTTACAAATTCAACACAATTCCTATTGTCTCAGCTGGCTTCCTTTGTAAAAATAGAAAGACTAGTATTCAAATGCATATGAAATATTAAGTGATCCTGAATAGCCGAAACAATCTTGAAAGAAAAAAGCTGGAGGATTCAAGTTCCTTGCCAAAACTCTACAAAACTACACTCACTGAGCCATGTAATACCAGAAAAAGCATAAATATAAAGATCAATGACCTAGAATGAGAGTCCAGAAATTAATTCTCATGTATTTGGTCAACTGATTTTTGCATAAATTGACAATGACATTCCACGGGAGAAAGAATAGTTTTTTCAACGAATAATGCTGAAACTACTTAATAGTTACATGAAAAATAGAGTAAACCCTTAACTCACACCATACACAAAAAATTGACTCTAAGTTGATCACAGAGATAAACATGAGTTTAAACTAGAGAAAAACAGAAAATTGATTCTTCATGACCTTGAACTAAGAAATGATTTTATGCACAAAACAACAAAAGCTCAAATAACAGAATAGGAAATAAACTGGACCATAACAAACTTGTGCTTCATGGGGTAATGTAAACAATGTGGAAAAACAATACATAGAAAACAAGAAAAGACTGGCAAATTATGTATCTAATAAGGTGCTTTTAGATGTATCCAGAATATATAAAAACTCTTACAGTTAAATAATTAGTAACCCAATTTAAAGATGAACAAAATGTTGAGTAGACATTTCCTCAGGAAGAAAAGTCATTCAAATGTCCAAAATGCACATGCACAGGCAAAAGATGCTCAGTAATATTAGTCATTCAGAAGACATAAATTAGAACTATTGTGTCATACCATTTCAAACCCACTGGAATGGCTATAATCAAAAAGATAATAAGTGATGTAGAGAAATCAGAGCACTCACATATTTTTGCTTGGAATGAAAAACAGTGCAGACATTCTGAAAAACAATTTGACATTTCTTCAAATGTTTAATCATAGAGTTGCAGTATGACTCAGCCATTCCACACCTAAACATACACCCGAGAGAATGAAAATACATCCCTACAAAAGCTGATACATGAATGTCTATAACTATGCATAGTATTTGTAAGAGCCAAGAAATAGATACAAAGGGCAGGAAACATCACAGACCCTGACTTGAAATTATATCACAAAGCTACTGTGATAAAATCAGCATGGTATTGACAAAATAACAGACCTGGGGTCCAGTGTAACAGATTAGAAGACACAGACACAACTACAAACACATTCAGCTACTTTATCTTTGACAAAGGAACCAAACATGTTCGCTGGAAGAAAGACAGCCTGTTTGTTAAAGGATGCTGGAAAAACTGGCTCTCTACATGCTGAAAACTAAAACTATATTCATGTCTATCACCATGCACTAAACTAAATTCTAAATGGATCAAGGATCTAAATTAAAATGCAAACACTAAATCTAGTAGAAGAAAAGGTAGGCAGAAATCTTGAAGATACACGTGTAGGTAGAGAGTTCATGAACAAAACCAGAACTACACAGGAAGTACTTTAAGGAATCAACAACTGGGATCTCATCTTATTAAAAAGCTTTCACACATTAAAAGAAATTACCAACAGAGTGAAAAGACAGCCCACTAAATGGGAAAAAAATTTAGCCAATTGTCTCTCAGACAAAGTACTTCTATCTAAAACATATAAAGAGTTGAGAAAAATCAGAGCATCCCAAAATTTAAAACCCAATCCAAAAATGGGCATGAATATACAATTCTCAAAATGAAAAAAAATACAA